GATAGAGATAAAGGAAGTTTCTAAAGGAATTTTTACATGTTAAGGTAGACTTACAGGATCCTGGGGGTTCAGGCTAGAATTGCTTGTCAACATCCAGGCAGCTGAGCCCCTAGAGGAAGGTCACTCTGCCTGTTTCAAGGACTTGTGAATGGGCTGTAGGTAGTAAGGAAATTTAATTTTTCTTCTGCCTCTGTTCCCCTCATCAGCCGAAGCCCTGGGTCAGCTACTTTCATTCTGGCCCCCTGGAACCCAGGCCAGCTGGGGAAGGCTGCATGTCACTCTCTTGCAGGGTCCAGCTCTGCTCTACTCCCCAGAGAACTCTCGGAAGAGGGGGGTCAGTTTATCTTCTGCTTGGGGAGGGGACAAAGGGGGTGTGCCCAACTGAGTCCCTCCCTGACTGTGAGCGTCAGGCTCAGGCGGACTCAGCCAAATTCCCAGCAGAGAACAGGTGACACATCCAAATCAGGAAGATAGGAAGAGCATGGCCCAAGGTGCTGTTTGGGGAGGGCTGGGCAGGACTCAGGAGCCATGCAGCACCCCCTGCAGGCCCAGCGGCAGGGACACCTGCTCTCTCCTGTCCAGGCTGGAAAGGCGGCCAGAGGGGCAGTTGCTATAGCTAGTTAGAAGTGATAGGACTGTCCCAGGAGACCCTGCAGGAGGGGGCCCGTGGGATCAATGCCCCACTTTGATCTTCTCTTAGTCTCTGCTGGGCTCCCAGTGGCCCCTCCCCCAGCCGTAGAAGCCCTCGTGAGTCCGGGGCTTGAGCAGCCTGCAGTCAGGCAGTGTCTGACGCCCCCACCGCCTGCCCTCTCCCACCCCCAAGCTTGCGCACGCCCGCCGGGCTCTCCTCTCCGCGCCGTTCCCCATCCCCCAAATCCATTTCTTACGCCTTTTCCTTAGAGGCTCCCATCTTCCCACTTCACCTCCTCATGGTGAATGCAGCTAAGGGGACTCCAGAAAAAACTAACAAGGTGACAAGGGCTCCAAGGGAGGAGAAAGGGCATGTTTGAAAGATCGCCCGTGGGGACGTGAGGCAGGCTCTTTCCATGAGCCATCCCCACAGGTCGGAGCACAGCAGAGCAACGGCCTCACAGCTGGCCTGCTGACGTGACCCCTCAAAGCAACACTCCTGGGCCAGCTGTGGGGTGACTGGCGGGGTCTCTGCGGGCCCGCGTCCTGGCCAGAGCTGCCTTGTCTTCCCTTGGTCTTTTTTGTCCCCATCTCCAGCTCTGTTCTTCTCCCCACTTATCAGGAGATCTCCTCCATCCCACCTGGGCCTACGGGCGAGCAGGCTGGGGAACCTTGCAAATTATGGGGGAGCAGGAGCAGGGCAATGTGGACGGATGTCATGGGCCGGGGAGAGGAGGCGCAGGGCCTGCCTGGCCCGGGGCCGGGCCGGGCCGAGGCCACCACAGGAGGAGGCCAGAGCTGGGGCAGGATCCCTCCACCTCCCAGGCTAGCAGGTGCAGGCGGCAGAGCCAGCAGCCTGGGAGGGGCAGGCGAGGGGGCAGGGGCCAGACACGCCCATTCCCTCCCCAGAGAGAGACCCCCTCCCTGCGGGGATGCCGGCAAACCGGGGCCAGAACACAGAGCTGACTTTGGCTACTGAGATGGGGCGGGGCGTCACCCGGGCACCTGACGCTGAGGCCGGGGAGTCTGGGCTCCTGACCACAGTGTGCCTGGCCCCTCACTGCAGCCTGGGCAGGTTGCCAGGGCAGGGCGAGAGTCTGGGGCTCCTTCCGCCCCTCCGCGCCCCGCCCTACCTGCCTTCCCCCCGGCTGCAGGAAATGGAAACTTAGAGCTCTGGACTCCTCCTCCCACCCCTCCGCCCCTTCTCACCCAGCCCCACCCCACCTCCCGCGGCTCCCACAGGCGGCCTGCACCCGCCCAGCCTCCAGCCTCTCCCCTCCCTAGGGAGGAGCAGCAGGGCCCAGGGGGGCCACCAGCCTCTGGGCCCAGCCCTTAAGGACCTGGTCCTCCCACCCAGAGCAGAGGGAGTGCAGAGCCCGAGGGTCACCCACCCAGTAGGGCAAGTGGCTTCAAGCCCCCAGCCTCAGGGGGGCTTCTGAAAACGGGTAAGCATTACCATCTCTGAGTGCAGGGGTAGGAAGGGTAGTAAGAGATGAACAGCCCCTGGGAAACAGTAGGTGCCAGAGATGCAAGCCTAGGAGACTACTAGCAGGAAGGGAGCATGGGGTCCACAGGTGTCCTGCCACTGCCCCAGCGTCAAGTCCAAGTTCCTGACCAGAGCTCTCAAGTTTCAGGTCCACTTGTGCAGCTTCCTCTGCCCAACCCACGACAGCCTGCAGGTCTCACCTCGCCAGTCTGAGCCACGCTAGCGAGGTCGCTTGATCTATGTTGAGTGAAAAACACGGTGAATGCATTCTACCTGGGGCCTCAGAGCCCCGAGGGGAATCGTCTGTGACAACACCTGCCAGTGTATCTGGGGGACATTCTGATTTCTAGCTCCTTGAATTCTTTTTCTTTAAAAAAAAAAAAAAAACTTTTTTAAGCGATCTCTACACCCAACTGGGGCTCGAACTTCCAACTCTAAGATCAAGAGTTGCCCACTCCACAGACAGAGCCAGCCAGGTGCCCCTTCTTTTGTTTTTAATGCTGGCCTGACCCGTTCAGGCGAATTACATGCTCACTGCCCACTGAATCTCAATCAGGCTGCTCTGATGTGCTTCTGGATCCTTCTACAAGGTACTGGTTGGGCCTGGGTCTCCTTCCTCTTACCATCGTACTGGGGCAGATCCCTCCTGCCCAGCTTATTTGGGGGCTGTCCCTTCCTTGGGCGCGATCACTGCATTGTCACCTGGTTGTGTCTATTGGCTGGCTGTCCCCCTTTGGTGGCCGTGACGAGGACATTTCCATGCTTCCGTGCCCACGCCTGATCTCAGGGATTCCCTGGAGATGGGGCAGGACCCTGAGCCCCACACTGATCACTGTCCCACCCTGCTGGACAGTGTTCTGCGGTCGCTGGACACAGGCACACCAGAGCTTCTGGCCAGCCCAGGACAACCTGGGTGTGCGGGCGTCTGTGGGGCAGGGAAGCTGAAGGTACTGCATTTCACAAAGGCTCCGTCTTGCTATTTCTCCGCTTGGTCACAGTGATTCATGTCCTGTAGTCTCCCTTGCATCTGTGTAAACCAGAGCTTGTTTTCTGCTCCAGGCGGAGGCAAGACAATTCATCGTTTTGAGTTCTTCCTAGGCCCCAAACACCTGGTAACACCTGGAAGAACGGGATCCCAAACACGTTCCAGGACACGAGCCTCCAACAAACCTGGGCCGATGCTGGCGTCAACACCCCCGCCCTCAGTGAATCTCGGACTAACACCCACTCTTCACCTGACACTCGCCTTTGATGGGACTCTACACTGGATTCCTGAAGGAACAGTAGCCCGGACCCCTTTCTATTAGGAACTCCTAACCCGAAGGAATGGGGAGTCTCCCAGATGCTCCATCCACTGTACTCTATCCCTTGCGCTTGTCAGTAAACTCTGCTCTCACTTCCTCCTGGCTCCCGTCTCATTTCTAGCCTGCATGAAGCCATGGACCCTCTCGGCGGGTCCTTCGGGGCCCCCTCTGGGTCCTCAGACCCAGCCTGCCAGCATCGAGTGGACGCCGACCTGTCCCACCTTCCCAGAGTGCCCCGACGTGCCGCAGCCTCCGCCGCGCCCCCAGTGGGATCAAAGAAGCCCTGGGCTGCGAACACAGAGCCTTCCCCGGTAGCAGCCCCTGCCGATGGCTTCCCTGATCACCACAGACACAACATGGCTTGCAGAGCAGAAGTGGGCTCAGGGCAGGGGTCTCGCTCACCCGCTCACCGGGACCCTGCCTGCCCAACCAGGTTTTCCTGTCCCCACCCCGGCCCGACGGCCCCCAGCATCCCATTCTCAAGTCCCAGAGAGCCAGGCGCCGGGGCCCATCCCGCGTGCGTGCTCCTGCAGGCTCCTCGCCTTCTCCCTGTCCAAACCCATTCCTCCCTCTGGAGGGTACTGCCTCCCTCCCAGAATCAGACTGGCCGCCCTCCCTGCTTCCCGTCCTGCCCTGTCCTGCCTGAGGATGAACTTCCCACATGGCCTGGCCTGGCCTGGCACGGGAAAGAGTGCAGGATGCGGGTTAGGGTTAAGGAGGTCCCCTTCGAGGCCTTGAGGGCAGCGAGCTGTGGACTCGGGGGAGCCCTCTCCCCGATGTGGGCTTCAGGACAGGGCTGTACCACAGGGAGACCCCCCACGTTAGGCCCCTGCTGGGAGGGGGACTCCCAAACATGCAGCCACAGCCAGTGCGTGAAAGGTGGAGAACATGTGTTTATTTGAGGCACCAAAGCAGCAGGCCGACTCCAATGTGGGGGTGGGGGGGACCGCAGCTCGGGGGGGGGGGCTGATTCCTGGGTCCAGTGGCCTAAACCCAGACGCACTGGAAGCCCATCTTCTTCCAAAAGGCCACCGTTAAAGTGGGTGAATGTGGGATGCAGAAAGGCCAGAGAGAAGCAGCTTTGTTGTTGGGGCTCAAGTGGCTCAGCCGCTGCCAACGTTGGACTCCAGTCTCCCACCCCCCACCATGCCCCGGCTCTGACAGGGCCGCACGCTCCACGCATGCATGGGGGTACACCCCCATCCACACAGCTGAGGGGATGCAATCACCTCTGACAACAGCACGCTGGTCCCCCTGGGATGCAGCAGCACAAAGCACATCTCCCACCCCACCTGGGGACAGACGGAGCAGGGCCTGGGGTGCATGTGCCCCTCCCAGGGTGTCCCCAGGACTCAGTTCTGACTCCAGGACCCTGGGCCTCCGGCCCTCAGCCTTTCCCCGGTTCCCTGAGGAGGTCACATCCCCGCCCGAGAAGTAGGTCAGGGGCCTCCTCGGAGGGGAGATGGGGGCGCAAGGGGCAGGCCTGACCGTGGGCACTGACGGCGGAGAGCACTGGGGTAGAGCAGGGTGAAGAGTCAGAGGAAGGGGCTTCCATATCGTTTTGGGGGTTGGCGGGGGGGGCGGGCCTTCCTTCCTGAGCTGGGGGAGCCTGGGCCAGCTGCTGGGCCCCAGCGGTCAGGGCCCGAGCCGCTGCAGGGCGGACAGCAGGCTGAGCAGGAGCCCGAGGCCCAGCACTGTGGTGCTGGCTTGCAGCCCCCGGCCGGCCGTGCTGAGGTTGCATAGGAAGCTCTGGCAGCAATAGGTGCCGACGGACGCCACGCCCAGGTTGATGCTGGGGCTGGGGCAGATCGGGGAGCAGCCCTTGTTCAGGGTGTGGCCGAAGTCCACCAGGTTCCCTGCACAGGACAGCAAGGCGGTGAGGGTGAGGGCGGCGGGGGGGGGGGGGGCCAGCCACGCGGGGAGGGGTGGCGGCCAGCGCTCACCGAGGCCGGCAGAGGCGGACACTGTGACGCAGTAGCTGTCCGAGTCCGCGCATACAGTCGGCTTCAGGCAGTAGAAGTTACTGTTCTGGTTCGTGCACGAGAAGCACACCAGGGAATGGGCTGCAGAAGAAGAGGAGATGCTGCAGGTGACACCTGTCTCGGGCCCTGGGATGGCCTCCAGTGGTGTCCCCTTGCCAGTCCTGAGCCAACACCCAACCACCTCCCAATCATTTGCCGAGGTTAATCGGGCAATCATCACACTCCAGACCCTGACCCCAGAGGAGCTCCAGGGACATCCCAAAGCACAGTGGTAAGTGTGTCAGGGTCAGAACTCAGGCCTCCGGGGGAGCAGCAAGGAGCAGGGACCCGCTTTGCTGGGGGAGAGGACCGTTCGGCCGGCCACAGCAGGCCAGGCAGGAACAGGCCTGAAGGGGCCCTGGGCAGCGCTTGGGGGAGTCCAGGAGGAAAGCACAGCTCAGCCGACGGCCCGGGGCCCCAAGGGGCATCTCACCTTGTTCCACACCCAGCAGGGCAGCCAGCAGCATGGGCAGGAAGACCTTCATTCTGGAAGAGACCGGTGTCCGGTCTGGGGCCTCACAAAGCCAAAGATACTGGTCCTGCTTAGAGAACAACTCGGTGGGGGACCGGGCTGCCCACTGGGAGGAGGGACCAGAGCCTCAGGCCCTGTGAGCTGCGCTGCCCCCCTTTGATAGACGGCGGGGCAGGCGGGAGGGGGCGCCTATCTCTGGCAGAGCACAGCCAGCACACAGAGGGTCTTCCTGCCCCATTCCCACCTACCCCTCAGTGCGCCCACTCCTCGTTGAGACCCCTCCCCCAGCCTGTGGTGACTGCTGCTGGGGCCAGATGAGGGAGCTCATGAAAGATCTCAGGATCACACAGAAAGGGAGGCCAAGAGAGTGGCCCCTGCTGGTGGTGCTGGGGCTGGGGGGAGAGTGGCCAGGAATATTAGCTGGCCTGCATCCAGGACTGTCCATGAGCCAGCTCTGTTCCTGACGTGAGGGACTCGGGCTGGGCTGGGCTGGGGGCCGAGCACCCACCTCCAGCAGTTTTCTATGTTTCTCCCTATGTTATTCAAAGCTGACGACAGTGAACCTATAAATATCTGCTATTCCCCCATCTTGTGCCTGAAAAAGAGGTTCAGTGAGTCTCAGCTAGGTAGATAGGAGTCTATGGTGCCTGGTGCCCTCCACCAGGACTCTCTCCTGGGCAGAGACCAGTGGCAGTGGGTGGAGAAAGCACTGGGAGGGGAGCAGCTGGGGTTCTGGTTCCCTGGTGGGCAGGAGGCATGGTGTGGGAGGAGCAGTCTGGTGCCTTCTTCAGCTGGGGATGCCGTGGGTGGGGGAAGGGCATTCTGGGCCTGGAGAGCCCGTCCCAGGCACGAAGAATGCCAGGGAGACAACAGGCTTTCCTGGCCCAGTTCTGGGCCTGGGATGACATCCTGGGGTCGGGGGCAGGAGCTGCAGATGCCCAAGAGTAGTGCCAAGCCCCGCTCCAGATCCAGGTAGTTCAGGGAGAAAGGAGCCTCAGTTTCCTCTTCTGTAAAGTGAGGTTTGGGCCTGGAGAAACTGAGCTGTTCTCAAGGAAGCTCTGGAGTGCACAGCCACCGGTCACAGCCTGTGCCCCCACTGTCCCCTGCCAGGCACCCAAACAAACAGGCCCCACTGGGCTGAGTCGGGGCACTGGCTGGAGTGGATGGACATGAGCAGGGTCAGGCCAAGCGGGCACTGAGGGGAACCAGTGGGCCTCGGGGACAGTGCCATCTGGGACCCAGACTGCCCACTCCTCCCCCAGCCTCACAGGGCTGATTTCTGACAAGGCCAGGCATCCAGTGACTGGGGGCCACTACAGAGGTGGGAGCTAGTCCTTGTCCCGGAAGTTGGAAGGAGCCAGATGGCTCAGCAGGGGGGCTGGGGAGGGGGGCGCTGGGGGTGGAGGCCCCTAGGCACCTCATACGCTTGCATAATCTTTGGCAAACAAGGAGCTTTCACCCCTTCCCAGAGTAGGCTCCAGCCCCCAGGGTGGTCCACCAGGAAGGGCACTCAATTCTTCCCATCCTGCTGCCCCGCCAAGATCCCAGGCCCCTTCTTAAGTCAGCAACGATGCCCCTCACCAGTCCCCACGGGAGAGGTGAGGGGGAACCTAGAGTCGGGTGATGGGCCCCAAGCCTGCGCGGCTCTGGGTCACCCAGCCAGAGAGGGCGCCTGGTGTTGGTCGGCGCCGGCTCCAGCCCGGATCTCGGAAAATATTCGGAAGGGCTGGGAGGGCTGGGGGATGGGAGTGGAGGCTCAGCCCCCAAGCGCCAAGCCCACCCGTAAGCCCGGACTCCCAGCCTCCTCCAGTTCCTCCCGCGTCTCTCCCGGCACGCTGCTCGCCCCCCCGCCCCGTCCTGCCCGGTGTCAAGGGGGTCGTCCCCGCTCCCCCAGCCCCGGTCCGGGCCCCGCCGACTCACGCGGGGCAGACGCAGGTCCACGGCCTCGCTGAGCTACCCAAGTCTGGAGCCCAAGCGCACGACAGCCCGGGACTCCCGGCAGCCGGCAGCCGCGGCGGGCGGGGGACAGCAGGCGGAGTCGGCGCTCGTGCTGGCGAGGGGAGCAGGGGCGAGCTCGGGGCGCAGAGGCGGGCGGGGCGGAGTCGGCGCTCCCGCGGGCGGGGGAGGAAGCAGGGGCGGAGTCGGGGCTCCAGCGGGGGGCGCGGGGTTGGCGTTCCTGGGGGCGGAGGCAGACCCCGAGTTCCCCGACCGGGTGGGGCTGGCAGGCCCCCACCCCGGGCCCCAAGCCCAGCCCCAGGGAGGTGTCGCTGGCCCGTCCGGCCGGTCCTTCTGGTCCCCACGCGGGGCGCGCGTCATCGCGGGCAGCCGGGCGACGTGTGGCGAGCGTGTGGGGGCGGGGACGGGGGCCCACCCGGGGACGGGGGCCCACCCATAGCCGGCCGCACTCAGGGAGGGCTCGCGTCCCTTCGGCCGAGTGACGTGGAAGCGTTTCAGACCCCGGGGCCGGGGCCGGTTGGGGGCGGGGAGGAGGCCGGGAGCTTGCCTCTAGCTCGCCGTCCCCTCTGCCCCGGGGTCCCCTAGGCTCCTGGCTTCGCCTCGGAGCTGAGGCCTTAGCCCTCCCGTGGTTGGGGGAGGAAGGTCGCAGGGGCGGTGGTTGTGGGCCACAGGGATCTCCAGCGGGACGTCCATCTTTGCTGGTTCTGGATCCCTTTTTGCTCTGGGCGCAGGGGTTGCCTCCTATGGGGCTGCCCCCACCTGGGCCAAGACACTCAGCCAGGATGCTCCCAGGCCTCCAGCTCACTCTGCTGCTAGAAGATCCTTTCACAAAGCCGGCCTGATGTGACCCTCCCAGCGCAGAGCCTAGAAGGCCGCTAGGATAAAACCAGAATCCTTAGCCTGACAGCAAAGGCTTTCGTGCGTTCTCTCAATAGGTATTCCCTGGCTGGACCTGCACCATCCACTCTGGGCAGGGAAGGCGGCCTGGCAGGACTCCACGCCCCTGCATCCTGCTTCTCATTGGCCAGGATGGGAGACCAATTGCAGCCGGGGGAGCGGGAGGTGGTGGGCTTGCGGGCAGGCCGGGCTGCCTGGCCCTTCCATCCCCCTCTCATTTGGTGGTTTCCCCTCCTTCTGCAGAGACTTTGGCGCAGTTTGCTGAGTCTCAGCCATCTGCTTGTTTTGGAAATGCACTTCACAGTTCACAGCCCGCTTCCTCTGAGGAGCTGTGGCACCTGACCTTTTCTCTCAGGCTTTCTGGTGGCACCTGTGGGTGAGGGTGGTGGAGGGCGCGGGGGAGGGGGGGGAGGGGGGAGAGGCTTCTTAACCATCACAGCTGGGGAGGCCAGGCAAGGGGGAGGGAGCCGAGGCAGAACGGCAGGGTGGCCAGGAGGGAGCTGCATGGGAAGAGGGGCCACTGTAATGGACCAGTCACGTGAGAAAGGCCTAGGGGTACAGGAGGCGCCATGGGAGTGTGCAGGGGAGTGAGTGAGTGTGTGGTTGGTGTGCATGAGTATGCACGGAAGTGTGTGTGTGTGTGTGTCTTCACAGTTTGGGGATCAGGGTCAGACGTTCCAGTGGTTCTTTGTAACATCCCAGTGATGTGGGATGGATCAACTTGGGAAGGCTTTGGGGGCTCTCTCCTTGGAGGCTGAAGGTGGGGCTCTGCACATGTCCCAAGAGGTCCCCAGCCAAGGAGCGGCGATATCTTCTAGGGGTGATGGCCCTGCTGTCCCCGGGGACATGCAGTAGGCCACAGCTCTTGGTTACCCTTTCTGGATCTTACCTTTGGAAGGCAGGGTGGGCGTCTGGGTGGGGCTTCCTCATCCTTTCTGCAGGCACCACCTCATTGGTATCTTAGTCTAAGCTTTGGGCTTAGCCTGGAAGGGGGAAGTGTGAAGCTCCTTTGGCAAGTGGAGCCTCTTGCTCACCTGCCCGGAAGGGATTTGGATGAATTTTGGTCCCCGTAAGAGGCATACATTTTATCTTGGCAGTGCCTGTCAGTTTTGGTATGGGCTACTTGCTTGTTGATTCCGTCCAACAGGTCAGCCCTCGAGGACAGTGCCCAGCACCCAGACCACTTCTGGCTCGTGGTGGGTGCTTAGCAAGTATTTGTGGGTGAAAGCATAAGTGGGCTCTGCCCCATTCAAGACAGGACCCTTTGATTCAGAGGGCTCTTGTGATTTTTTTTTTTAAAGATTTTATTTATTTATTTATTTGACAGAGAGAGACACAGTGAGAGATGTCCGGAGTCCAGCTCCAGCAGGAAAGGGTTCCTCAAAGGAAAGGAGGGCGTCGGCGAGTAAGGAGACACAGACACAGGATCAGGTTGTAAGTATCTCCCCGGATAGCCTCGGAGGGACTTTATTTATTCATCAGAATGTTTCCTTGTTTTTCCATTCTTCCATGTGATCTTTTTTACATTTTATCACAATCATTTCAGATTTAAAAAACAGCGTGACCGTGCAAGACAAAGCGTGACCTATAAAGGTTATCTAAAGTTTATTCTTTCTCCAAAGGCAGCTTACAGTGTGTGCACCCTATCTTATCGAAGTACTTACTCCATTTCTATATGTTTTCGTCTCTTGTCCTTGCTCCATAGACACCACGGAGGATCACTCCTCTTAATCCTTTCCCAGAGGCTGTCAGACGATGCCCGCACCCTTTTTCCCTTAATCCTGTACCGTGTACTCATGTCCTCATCAACTCCAGTTATAAGGAATGGGAGGAGTAGGGGTAAGGAAGTTAATCCTACTCCAGGGCTTGCCTCGAGGGAGGGGCATGCCAGAGGTGGCCTCCTATTTGTATGCAACATAGGGAGGTCCCTGTACTGTGGGAACGACAAAACGAGATGCCCTTCTCTTAAGAACCCTGGTGCTTCTGAGGTGCCTGTGGGATCTCATCAATAGGAATTTTTACTGGGCCTGAATCCAACAGCTCCCTTAAACGAAGCTTATCAAAGAACTCCGCGTTGCTCATGTTAGATGAATTACAGATTGGAGGACTTTCGGTAATTTTACTTCTTGGCCCATCGTCAGCCTTTTTGGAATCAGCTTCATTATGATTGCTTGCATAGGCATAACTAAATTTATAAATCATTTTATCATGAAACCCTAGAAAAAATCCCATGATTATAAAGATTGACGCAAATAAAATGAAAGGAAGTAGCAGGAGCTAGCTGTGGAGTCTCCTGATTTTCAGGATTATCCCCCATACTTGGACTTTGTCAAGTAGCTTGGCTCGCGCCAGAGAGAGGAAACACAAGCAGGGGGAGCGGGAGAAGCAGGCTCCCTGCCGAGCAGGGAGCCAGATGCGGGGCTGGATCCCAGGACCCTGGGATCATGACCCGAGCCAAAGGCAGACGCTCAACGACTGAGCCACCCAGGCGCCCCAGAGGGCTCTTATGATTTTGAACAACCAACTCACAAGTCACCAAGGTCACTGCCACAGAACAGGCGTGAGACTCAAGAAAATGTATCTGAACATGTATGGCCAAGCCAGGAGTTTGTACAATGCCTGATGACATAATCTGTGGGGTCCTTCCGAAAACCGAGGCTGGGAGGCGAGACTGGCCCGCTCCATGCATGAAATGGCTGGGTATGTGTCCACCTGGTGGACTTGTGTCTACAGACACCCCCTGCCTCTGCTTCTGCTTCCCTTTCCTGGGTTTGCCCAAGTCTTTGGATTTTGTGAACGACCTACTCATTTCCTGGGTCAGCGCTCCACCCCCCCCACCCCACCCCCAGAATGTTTTTTTCTTTCCCGCTCCAGTATTGCCTCACCGCTTCTTGGGCAGACCCTGTCCTGGGGAGGGGCCAGTGGGTAGATGGAGAGGGGCACAGCCTTGGTGAAATGTCCTCCCACATGGGCATGCTGTGTGAGCCTGCGCCCCCCCGCCCCCACAAAGGGCCCAGGCCCCAAGTGCAGCGCTGCCCAGGCCCAGTGTCTGCTGCCCCACCTCAGGCTGGCGAGGTACGTCCAGAAGGCCCTGCGAATAGTGACCAAGCGAGCCAGGGAGTGAAGCGGCGGGACAGTGACCCACCCCTGCCAGTCACTCAGGCGTCTCTTTCCAGCATGGGTCCCCGCAGCCCCCTGCTGAGCCCAGAGAGAAGGAAGGCCTGCACAGGTAAGAACCTGGGAGGCTCTTCCTCTTGGCCGCTGCCCTGAGGTGGCGGCACCCCCCAGCCTGGGACGGGGAGTAGGGTGGGGGACAGCAGCAGGCAGAGGCTGAGGGTGGCGTGCCTCTGCCCAGGGTATGTGCCGACCTGTGCTCTGACAGCTCTCCCCCGACTCATGCTCCCTGGGGAACTTTCTCCTGGCAGAGACTGCTGGAGTTTGGGTTGCCGGCCCTTTGAGTGTGTGTGGGGGGGGCACGTTTGCCGCTGGATGTCTCTCAGTCCTGTCCGGGGTCTGGACCCTGGTGTGTGCACGGTCAGGCTGGTCTGGAACTGTGAGAGATGGGTGCCTGCTGCCCTCGCCGTCTGCTGGAAGGGGACCCATGGGCCGGAGGAGCTAATAATAGGAGCCCCCTTCAGGGACCTGAGCTAACAGGAGCCTGGCACGGGGTGCTGAGGCTGGAGAGGGGGCCACGGGGTGCAGGTAGGGCAATCGCCCTCGTCTGGCATCCTACGAGGGAGGTACAGCACCCTGCCACCAGAGGTCTCCACGCCTGACGGCGTTTGCCTGTGGGTGGTATTCACAAGCTGCTAGCAGGGGTTCTCGGCCTCCTTGGGCCCCTGGCGCAGTGTCTCTCCCATCTGGAGCTGCCCCCCTCCTGCGTGGCTCAGAGACTCCTACTGCAGGTCTCTGCTTAGGGGTCCCATGGGGAAGTGTGCAGACTCCCCTGGCCCTTCTCTTCTGCTGCCCTGTCTCTTGTAGGGCCAGGGAGCCTGGAGCCAGCCACTCGCGGGCTCTAGCTGGATTGGAGGCAAGGCCTTGTCTGGCATTGGGGGTTCAGTGTGCAAGGAGAGCAGCCCAAAAGGCTGGTGGCTGCTGGTGAGGCCACACTGTGGGGCTCTGTATCCCTGCCTTACCTCTCTGGGCACAGCTCCACGTCTCCAAGTGGAAC